AGTAGCGTCTTGTTACTACTAGTAAGGCACTTGTTACGAGAAGCGATGCACTTGTTCCTAGTAGCTTCTTGTTACTAGTAAGGCCAGGAGCCCCTAGTACTGTTGTGTCACAATAGCACAGTGTATTTGAGATCGTGTGAAATCGTCCTTCGTTCCTCAGTGGTCAGTGAATTGTTAAGCTTCGGTGAGTAATCTTTGGTGTGCTTACCTGCCCTTGGGGCAGGTCTCATGTACTCACCTTGTGGCCACGCAGTTTTGATTGGCAGGGTGAACTCTCAAGGCTTATGTGCCCTATCGATCAAGCAAAGCCATGCATTAGATGATTGGCATGACCAACTCCGACCCACAACATGTCACAACATCTGAGAACATCTCATACCCTCAGGTTTCAAACTGAACTTCACACTAGTTTCGCTCGATGCAGATCTTGCTGAGGACTAGAACACAAAACCATCTGAAAGTTCGTATCATGGACATCAGGGGGCTGATAGTATCGTTCAATCCCACCCAAGCTATACAAGGTTGGAGTCCCACCCGAGCTAGAGACGCAGAGACGAGTCGCAAACGCGGTTGGTAGGGCCATGTCATGGCAGAGACGCAGACTTTCGAGTTTTTCCCCCAGTCGTTGCGCAGCTTCTTCCGGGCGGTGCAGAACGTCAGCAAGCTGGGGAAGGACAGAAAGAGGCGTTTGTTCAAAAGCCTGGCGGTGGATTTCTGGCCAGCTGGTTTGGGGGCCTCATCTTTCGAGAAACAACCCTCTCTCCATATTCTGGATCTGTGGGGTTTCACGTTGGGATGGTTTGACTCGGAGCCTTGCTCCTGAGTTTGTGTCCAACACAGGGGCTTCGCAGGAGTTTCTAACTGAGTTGCCTCACCTGTAATTGACGTTGTCGTTGGTCGTTGTGGACGGCTTGCGATGCCGATCATTCGAACGGGTCACTCACCCAGGATGCAGCTTTGATCTTCCGCCAAGGGGAGCTTGGGCTCCGGGGCGCCGACGATGCTCACGTGACTGCGCTGCACTTTGTGTTCAGCGGGAAACTCTTCCGAAGCTCACACAGCAGCAAGGAGACCAAGGTCGTTGTTACTGCCAGGCTGGTTTGGCCAAAAAGTATCCCTGGCTTATTTGAAAGATCTGAAGAGACTCTTGGACCACCCCTTTTGCATATGTTTGCAATGCTGTTGCGTGTTGCAAAAGGCAATGCTGTTGGTGCACCCTGATAGGCAGCTTTTGATGCCTGTGACGGGTGCACAACAGAAGTCCGAAGGAGGATTGCGCATCAGACTTTGTGGGCCACGAATTTTCTTGGAGTTTGCCAGTCGCAGTGGCTTGTTCGTTTCTCATGGAGTGCCTTTGTTGGAGACGTTGCCTTTCCTTCCAGACGAACCCGTTGCAGGGCCACATGCTGCGGCCTTAGCTCCGAGTTTGCTGGCTCGAGTGATGCTGCACTGTGTACCAAAACGGAGTGGTGGTAGTGAGGAAGTCACACTGGGCGCAGCCCCGTCGGAGGGCTTGCGTGTGAAGAGTGAAGATTTGACGAGTACACGAGAAGAAGGATCTCATCGTACTGAAGTCCTTTTGCAGATGTCAGACTTAGAGGCATGTAGCTTGGATCCCACTGCTGCTTTGGAGGTGAGATTTCCAGGGAGGGGCTTGCGTGATTTTGCACATGCTTGCGAGTACTTCGCACGAGACCTAGACAGCCTGGGGGTTATGTGTGGATCTGCCTTGCTGGAACTTCGATTTGGCGAAGATTCGGGTTCTGTGGTTTGTAGTTTTGCAGTGGCTTCCATGGGCTCTGCCGTCCCCGTGGAAGACTTCCGGGCCGTTTTTATGGTATGCATCCGAGAGGCAACCACCGTGATGAGTGCCACACCACAACCGCCAACGGCATCGCCCCAGACTAAACGTCCACAGCGCCAGGGAGCCAAACGTCGCGCGATAGAAGTGCCACAAGTGCAACAAGTGCGTCCTCCCGACGACTTCGATGAGTTTGACGCGTTCCCAGAATCCTCGAGTTCCCAACCTCGAGTACCTCAGGCTTCACATGTCATCGACCTCACCCAGGTTCGTCCCACTCAACCCACAACTCAAACGACAGAACCTACAGAGCCTGCACGGTCCCAGTTGCAGCTTTTTACTGCAGAGCAAAAAGCACAGATTCTTCATTCGCAGCCACGAAGGGATGCACCTCCTGTGCCGCCATTTCTGCAGCCATCACCAACACCGCCAGAGCCCGCCACACAGCGACTTGTGCCTCCAGTAGCAGCACAGGTGCCCAACGGAATTGCACCGGTGCCCAATGGAACAGCAGCTCCACATGTGACAAGGCCAAATGCGCTGCCAAATAGAACAGCTGTGTCGGTTCCGAATGGAGCTTCTTCTCAGCCCACCGGCCTTTGGTGGCAAGGCCGTGCAGCTGCACCGGCTGTGATGGCTACTTTGTCACCCCAACCCCACACCGCCGGCCCTGCCTTGGCGTCTCATCTCGATGCCTTCGACAGTGATGATGAGCTCATCGGCGCAGATCCAGATGAAATCGCCTTCGCTCGAGGGGATCAAGAGGAAGAAGCTCCGGATTGGTTCGATTGTGAAAGGCTTTGGTGAATTGTCGTGAAACAATATGTTTCACTTGACTCATTTAGTTCGAGCCCCTGGGGCAAGGGCTTGTGCCGCGAGGAAAATCGAGTTGTGGAAGCATTGAGGTCAGAAGAGGGTCAGCCATTCGTGATCCACCTGCAGCTTGCTCTGAGGCTTGCTCTGAACACGGTACTTGCTTCCTTGGCACCTGCAGGCCCGGCACAAAAAAGAGATATTTGAGAGTTGAGGAGTGACACTGATCGATTGACCATAGGATGAATAAACATGACTGGCCTGACGACATGTATTTCATAGATACATCATAGATACATATAGATATATACTACATTATTGTGCATTGTTAGCTCGAGAAGAAGTACACGGGTTTTAGCAGGACGTCCTGAGTCCTGACATTGAGAGGTCTGCATAGGCTTATATGGGCTCACATGTCTCACCTCAGTGGAGATCAGAGTGGCACCACCATACAATGGCAGGTGCCAGCAAGGTTGGGCAGGCGTTGCCTGCCAGCAGTTTGTGCCTCCACCGGGCAGCATGAACTCGACACTTGGCTATCAAACCTTTGATCCTTCACAGGTTTTGCACCCTAAGAAATGCATGTGGATATTTCATCAGACCCACTGGTTCCACAATAGACTTGTCCAGAGGCTGTGAGGTGCAGGTCAGATAGGATCGACAGACCAAGGATCCCACCTGCTCTAATCCCGGCTGCTCCTGGAACGCTTCTCGGCTTGAAAATTCTCGAAGACAATGGAGAGCTCCGATACCGATACCCACTTCAAAAAGCTCTTTTGTTCAACATCAAAAGTGATCGTTTATGATGGTTTGTAATGGTTATATATGTGAGTTTTTTCCTTGGGAATCAAGAGGGTTGTTTGCCTGTTTGTAGAGAGTCACCGACACATGTGATGGAATCAGTGTGACTCTGACCCCACAGCTGTGACGGGTCTCGATCTGAGTTCGAAGAGCTTGAGCAGTGGCCTGCGTCATCCTGTCTGAGATTGCAAACAAACATGCAAACACTAAAAGTTGTTTTCTCTTCCTCTTTGGAGAACGCTACAGCCAACACAAGGAAGAGGATTAATTACAAGAGATGGTGGCCCCTAGTCACCCTCCATCGCGCATACGCAATCTTGAAAGTGGGTTTTCGCTTCCAGTCATTTTGTTCACTCTTAGGCTTGGAGATCCAATGCCAGCAGCATTGCTAGACCTTCACAGCAAAGAGGCCGGGTAATCTGGAGTCATGGAGCATCATCGAGGGCTTTGGCGCCATCACTCCATCTCAAACATACGGTTCTTTTGACAGGGTTCCGGTATCATGGTTCGAGATACCGTAAAGGACGCAGAAAACTCCCAGCCTGCGATTTCAAGCAAGCGAACCTGTTCCTGTGCCACGTGTTCGATCAAGAATTACTTTGCCATAATACCATGCAAAGAACAAGTAACTTGGAATGTGCTGGGGAGGATCACTCAGAGCATGTTGCGAGGAAACGGGCTCCCCACCCGCGCCGAAATGCCTCTTGGAAGCAAGAATGTGGGCAGTGGGCAATAAACAAGGACATCAGAACACATTTGACGTCCATTTTCAGGATGATGCTTTATGTGGATTTGCGTCACACACAGTTGTCACACACTTCCCAGAGAGGTTTTCATCATGAGAAGACGGAATCCACGGAATTGCTAGATGAGTTCAGAGGCAAAAGGCTCAAGTTGATAGATATGTGCAGGTTGGAGGCCATCAAAAGTAGGTTGGAGGCCATCGCTATTAGGTTGGAGGCCATCGCTATTATGGTTGGAGGCCATCACTACTAGGTTGGAGGCCATCGCTCTTAGGTTGGAGGCCAGCCATCGCTATCAGGTTGGAGGCCATCGCTCTTAGGTTGGAGGCCATCGCTCTTAGGTTGGAGGCCATCGCTACCAGGTTGGAGGCCATC